TGCCTTCCCTTAAGACGTCCTATTCGTTTCCCCTGGAGCGGGCATTATCGCATTGGCAAATAGACGTTGTAATCGTTTTTGACCCTGCCGCTTGCCCGACGATAACATCGTAGATAAATTTTAAATGATACGGTTTCCTCTGTTTAAGCACTTTTGCATTGTATGTTCATATTCGAAAGCTTCTATCTAAGTTATGCTTACAATAAACTGGTGGTACGGTACGTGGAGTAAACGAATCGTTTCCATGCAGAATATTTAAAATAAACAGGCGGCTTATTTCGATAATACCGCGTATGGCAGGATCGTCCATAGAGTGTTAAATAGAATAGGTATGGTCGTCGACTGTAATAATAATGTTTGCGTGTAGAGGTGGTCGAAATACGGTCAAATAGAGCTGGTTGATGTGTTGCAGAGCTGCTGGCCTATGAGTTCTTCGTAGGGACACCCGCGTCTCTCACTCGCTGCCACCAATAAGCTGGACGCTCCACTAAATTCCCTTATTGAATCGGTCCGCGTTATTCTATAACCCTATTCTGCAATAACTGTGCATGTATGCATGCCTATAGTTGTTGCTTATAGTGCGCCGGTTTCGAATAGTAACATAGACACTGGCGTCGCTGTGGGAGCTGTTGCCGCTACTGTCACCGAGTCGGTGGCTGTGCTGCTATGGTTACACGATGGATCACGATGGCGCATTGTGCTATGACGGACTATATGACGCTAGTTGTTGGCCTGTGCTGCGTCCTCGGCACCGTCACTACAAGCGCCGTCATAGAAGCAACAGAAACACTACTGATGCTAATCTGGCGGCAGCAGCAGCAGCAAGCTGCCGATCAGTGGTGGCGGCATCAAACGGACTAACGTTGCTGCTGTTTTGCCAGTATGGGTAGATACAACGGCGGTCTCCAGTGGCCATGACGGTGCTGGCAGTGGTGGCGATAGTGTGCGTGTTCCCGATAGCGCAACTACAGATTTGGCATCGGTCATGTTCGATTCATAGCAGCGAGTATTTTGTTGCCTCCAAAGCAAATCAATGCGCACCAAGGCAAAGCGACATAAGCATCAATAACAATACCCATATACATCAGGCACCTTAAAAGTACGTCATTAAAATAAGTGATAATAATAATAATAATAATAATGAGTGAAAGTACTCACAGACTAGACTATATGCCTGACATGTGTGTACCTTCTTCTGCTATATGCCTCTTTCAAAAGCAACTGTCCTCTTTGCAGTTAACAAGCGAACTTCTAAACCTCTCCCATACGTTTGCAAAAGCTGCAAAAACAGGATATAACCGTAGCGCTCTAGCAACTAGTGGCATACGAAGGGCAGCGATAGAAGAAATAGAATACCATCCTGATTGTTGTACCTTCTAAAACTACAACTATTCTCAACAGTGAAAATACACGACTTCTACAAAAACTAAAAAACGCTCCACTAAATACAGCATCCAAAATGGGTGATAATTTCTTGTCTGATAATACTTTTGAAAGGCATCGATTTTCCGAGACAAGTACAAAACATTAGAGATACGCTTTTGCCCACCACAAATTGTCTTCCGCTTTCATAACTGTAATCTAAAAATTGCAAAGTCATGGCCCACTTCCAGCGAAATTGCAGCATGGTTGGATTCCTTTCGCCTTTTACAAGTAATGATTGAATTAAATATTTAAAAGGAATATAAGATACTAAATCTATTATTAACGAGGAAAGTCCAATCTGTTCAAATTTTTGTACACACATCTACCGTTACAGAACTTACAGATAAAATACTTGCATTGCTAATAATACAGCTTATAGCCCTTCATGTCTATTGCATATCTATATATGTAAAATTCTGCTCCGATACCATTTTATTTGGCAGGACTAACTCTATTTCGCTCTCGGAAAGCACGTTTTTTAATTAACTACACCTTCGTTAAAAAGATTCATCACCAGCTTCATTGTAACCGAGCCTAAAGAAGACAGTAACACAGCCTGTAGTTTTTTGGCTTAAACTGATGCAAATGATGCAAATAGTAGTTAACAACTAAGAAACTAACACATCTTTATTTGAATTGTTATTGTACGCTTCGAATAACTCGTACGTGAACTGTCAATGCTAAGCTTTATCTCAGTGATAAGCGTCCTTGCACAATCATAGATACACCTTAATGGAGGACCTCTATGCCAAAAGGTCCAAGTTAACCGATTTCCACGGATATAAAGATGAAGATTCCGAGGAAACGAAGAAGCCATCAAGTAAACCCTGGCCCCTCACTGAATGTGATTATGTTTTCCCCGAACCTCTTGCGTCACTGCTAATCTATCAAAATAAATTGCAGAAACTTGCATCATAGATACATAGAAGATCGGCTAAAAACATAGCAAAATAGGCGAGGAACATGAGTTTATTTCTTTCTCAAATTTTAGTTACATTTTTTTTCTAAACCATGTTCGTGCAAAAGACGTCTCGAAAAATTCGCGATATAGTCACACCAAGTGTGGATCCGTTAAGGGTCTCCGGGAAAACTGCTCAATACATATTTAAGCAAATTTTCACGTAAAAACCACTGAAATGAGCATTACACAAATATCGGTTATATATAAGCGTACTAGAGCATATTGCTTTTTACCTATTCAATAAACGGACGTGAAAATACACTTTAACTATTTCATGGCTTATACAGTCATTATTAGGATTGTACGGAAAGCAAGAAGTACAATGAGGAATCAGATTTTTCTGTTATAACAAAGTGTCGTGGCCTACGATCGAATGCCGGACAAATGGAGCCTCCCTTTTTGGTTTTATCTTTGTACTGCTGTTGTTATTGCCCGTTTAGTGTTTACACTTCCCGGAGGAGAATGGTGACGAGGAGAAGGCAGGAGCTGAATTACGACGATGCTGCCAGTGGTGGCTCGACGCTGGAGCAGTCGAAAGCGAACCTGCTTCGTCCTCTGTCGGCTTTCTCGGCGATGCTGAGCGCTTCAAGTATTCAAATTGCTCAGAACTACCACCGTCTCTGTATGCGCTTAGGCGTTCATTTCCAACGGATCGGGTAATCTAACTGGCCTCCTGTTCCTAGGTAGTTTGTTGTGCTCTGTTTTTTAGGCTGGTAATAGGCACGGGGGAACTATTAACTAGCGGCCGCCAGCGACTTGGCTGCCTGACCGGCCCAAAGCAAGCTGTCTGGTTAGCTAGCCACAAACAACAGCGCTTTTCCATCTAGCGCTTCTATGTGCCGGTGCTGCTGTGCGAGCAGTTTGTTTGCTGGTACTGCTGCTTGCCCAGCAGCCAATCAGTGAGGCAATCAAGCAACGGATGCACGGGCAGTCGCCCGGTCAAAGTCCACACGATGACGCCGACGAAAACTGAACGGAGAGAGGCTGAGAAAAGAGAAGTACTGCAGCGGATAGGCGAGCGCTAGAATAGAAAACAGTAGTCAGACAAGCGGACTGGCGGGCGGTCTATGATACGCCACACAGCATTCAAACACGTTCACGAGTATGATCAAACCATACGTACATTTGCTATAGATATCAAACATGCCCATACATGAACAATACAAACCACGTAGAAGCTGCTGGTGTTGCTGTAGCAACACCAGCAGCGGCGCTAGTAACAGAAGTCTATGTTAAATTACGTAGTCTGCAACGTGTAGTTACGGTAACTGACCAACAGTCAATCGCGTTTTACTGCCTCCAAGTTTGACGAAGTGGTTGCAGGCGACGACCGCACGCTTCCAACTAAATACAACCATTTACTCTAGCACTGGCAGTTTACACGTACGTTGATGCAGACTCAATGTAGAAAACAGTTTTGAGCTGCACTGTAAGGGGCAAAAAACTATTTTGAAGAACACTCGCTTGTGTAGATTGGAAACGAGTTGGATAAGCACTAACAAATATTTGTTCAGCAGCGACAACCCATACCAACACTTCATACCAGAAAGGCCAAAAAAACACAGAAAGGCCACAGGATTGACAGGGGTATAGTAAGTCTTTTGAGCACGATGCCGACCATGCGCCATCATATGTAATATACAATTGTTTTTTTGACTTTATCCGTTCTCTGTTGTTCTATATATTATTGTAGTTATTAGTTCTCTCATCATAATTCATCATTTTATTTTCTATTTCTATTAAAAGGCGTTTCATTCTGCACCTTATAGCAACTCACAGTTACTCTCCTTTTGAAAGTTCATTGAGTACTGCGTTTTCGCTTACTGTCCAATTATTAGACCTGTTTAACGGATCTTGTCGCTAACAACGCAAGGGATCTGTCCAAGCAACGTGCACTATACCAGAGGCTATTATCAGGGTAATAAGATAGCTTTGATCAGAAAGTGCAGGTGTAGAAATGCAATGGCAGGAATTGGAATTGGTTGATTGCAGCTTCTAGCAAGGTTGCTGCTTTGCGGGCGACTCACCGGGCAAACTTAATTATCATTATTATTCCTATTATAGATAAATAGATTCATTTGTATGCCTCGACTGTAGCGCTTGTGTTCTCCGAAATAGCTGTTACTAACGGATAGAATCAATTAAACAGATGATGCACTCAGTGCTGTGTGCTGATGACGATCGTACTAGTCGAAGAAACAATAAATGTTAGGGTATCATCATCATATAATACAACATTATGTAGAAGTTGTAGTAATATAGTGTCGGTGCAATAATATAGCGATTTCTAGTAATACCGATTTAAGATGATCCGAATAGGGCAGAAGTGGTGTCACCGTGTGGTGAGTAGTGCCATTCGCCTACTTCATATTGGGCCGTATGTAATGAGTCGAGCTCTCAAATTAAAATATGGGATTACCTTAGTATGATTATTACTATTATTAAATAATGGCAAGCAGCATGATGTTATGACACGCATAAAGGTCTGCTGGATGAATGGGTGATTTTGTGGGATGGAGCGAAAAATGGGAGCACAAGGACGATTACGATGTTGTTGATAATGGTTATGTAGCTTTTAATTCGATGATGATTTCGTAAGCAGCGGGATACTCACGAGAGTGCTAAAGAGTACTGGTTCGTTTATGATGATGGAGGACGTAGGCCGCAGCGCGACCCTCGAACCCCGAAAAATTTCAGAGCTATGAAGATATCGGTAACGAAGCTGCGGGCGCGCGGTAAGGAGGTTTGCAGTTTAAATTTTCTTTATTTCACTTAATTGTTTCTGTCAAAACTCGCCAAAGCCAAGCGCGGCCACCAAGTTTGTTGCTATTGTTGCTGTTGTTGTTGTTGTTGTAGCTGTTGTTGTATTTGCTGATGTTGCGGTTAACTGTATTTCTGTTGATGATGATATTATTACATTATATGTTGTTGTTGTTGGTGTGTTTTTTGCTGATAAGTGGTTGAGCACGCGGCGCGGCTTGCAGCAACGGCGGCACGGGTCGCTTACGAGAGAGCACAATACTTTGTTTCTGTTTTCGTAATAGCGAACGACGACGACGATGCTTGAAGTAGTAGCGATAGTAGCAGCGGTAATAGTAGTAGGAGCGACGCTAGCGCGCGCGTACACACTCATACACAGACACACACGCCCACACACGTACAAACAGGGAGAAATAGACACACGAGGAAGAGTCACAAAAAAGACGGTGCGCCAATGACTCTGATGGTAATAACGACAACAGCGATATGCAAAACAACGCACTCAGAATACTCTTCTTTGCGACTGATGAATTCGGTAAGACAGGCGGTGGATGATGACGGTGTTAACGTGCAGCAGTAATCGTTTCACCACATACACACATCGTCGTCGTCACGTACAGTAAGAAAGGCGACGGGAGATACTGCTAGAGCTCTGAGTGATACTATCCAACTAAGGCACTTGTCCGCGGTAACTGGTTTCTGCAGTTAGGCACACAGCACACAAAGCACAATTCACGAAACCCACTTCACTATGCAAAGGACGGAAGAGAACGGGCAATCAACGACGGAAAGCTAGTTACAACGAATGTTATAGCAACAGCAGCGGCGGCAGCAGCAGCAGCACTATTCGTAATAGCAGAGCCGTAACTGAATCGTATATTGACGCTTGTGCTTGTGCTAGGTTATAGCAGGAGCAGTCAGTAACCGTGGCTGTGGTTGTACAAGCTAACAGATAACTGGATTGTTGGCGTACTAATTATAGTACTAGTGATATCTACTATGGTCGAATATATCAGCTAGTCAGCGCACAAGGCAAGCAGCATATGCACGCATCAACACGGAGAATGATAATAATATTAATATTAATAATAATAATAATAATAATAACTAATCAAAGCAGCAGCGGTAACCAATAGTTTTATCACAGTTGTTGTCTTTTTAGGTAGTTCTGACGGTTAGGTAGTGCGACCAGTTGAGGCGGCGCTGCGGAGAGGCAAAAGGAAACGGGATCGACAGCACCAAACGGAAGATGACGGCAGCACGTCAGGTCCTTTATTACTGTTTGTAGCACTCCGTCCTACCAATAGGCCAATCTCTGGTCGGGAGCCGAAGAAGTAGGTTTGCTTTTGTTGCTCGGCTACTCGTCGACAGGCGTTAGTATCGTTAGCTCGTTGAGTCGTTACCAATGCTTTCCTTGCGCTGTTCGACGCTACTGTTGCTCGAATTCGTTGTTGTTGTCGTCGTCGTCGTCGCTGACTTCGTCGTTAGTGCTGCGTAGCAAACAAATACCTGTCAAACAGCCACAGCCATATATAGCACGCATACACGTACACATGCACACGCTAGCAAAATCTGCTTCCGCTTCACTTTCACCTTCAATTACGGCACAATGAAACTTATCCGGCGATTAAAGCTTTCCGAGAGGCAAAACGAGCACACCCCTTGTTTTCGATTCCAACGTTGTTGTCGCTGCTGCTGTCGTCGTAGTTGCTATTGAATATGCCTGCCTTTTCACAACTTTTAATACCTTGTGTCAGCACAATCGTAGCGGCCTTCGCTCCTTGTCGCCATCATCACCAGCAGCAGCAGCAGCAGCATGAGAAGGACGAGCGGCGATCGCAGCAGCTGGCGCCCTGCGTGACAACTAACTGACTGAATGGCTGGAACTGTCTGATGGTCATGTTGATGCCATCGCCACCGTCCGTCTCGTCTTTGTATCACTATTCGTATTATACTTCTGCTGTTGCTGCGGCGGCTGTGGTGCCGCTTCTTCGGCCGCGTCGTCGCGTGTGGGTGCGCGAACGATGACGACGACGAAAACGACCGCCGTCGCTAGCAGCACCACCACTACGCAGCCGTGTTCCCAGTAGTGATGAACCTAACAGCAGCAGCAGCAGCAATGACTGCCGCTGGCGCTGCTGTCCCGTCTGCTACTTCCAAGTCCGGCTACCGCCGCTGTTGCCCCCGCCGCCGTGGGCCGTCGTAGTAGTAGCAGTTGCAGTAGCGCTGGGATACGGACAATACTTGTGCTGCTGCTGGTGCTGCTGCTGCTGCTGCCGCTGCTTGAAGGAGTATTTAGCCGTTGTACTAATAGTCGTGCCAATGTTATAGTGAACGGATTCGACGAGCACTAACGTCGCTGCTATTCCGAAAGCTGTAGTTGAAGTAGTGGTAGTAGCATCACAAGCAGCTGAGACTGTGGGCGACGCCGTCTGTTAGAGATTGAAGGGGGCGCGAGAGCTATTCATGCCTGTTCTGCTTTTGTTCTTCTTGTGATATTATGGCTTTCCCTTTTTCTTCTACTGCTCTGCTGCGGCTCGTCGTCGCTGTCGCTTTCCGCAGCATTCAGCTGGCAATAATAGTAATAACCGTAGCACACTTTCCGGAGTCGTAGATTCGGTCAAGGTTCCTCGGAAGTATGTACCGACGACACCAGCAACAATAACAACAATAATAACTATTTAGAATAAAATAACTGCAAAAACAACAACAACAACAACAACAACAACGACGACGACGTTTGGTACGCACTGTTCTTGCCGCTGCTGTTTTCGGTGTTTCACTTAGTGCTCATCATTTGCGATGATCGGGCCGCTGATCCGGTGCTAACGATAGCTGTTGTTGTAGTAACTGAGCTAGTTGTTGTTGTTGTTGTACGGGTTATGGCGTTTTTGCCTGTGCTCCTTTTCTTTTCCGGCTGTTGTTGTTGATGATGATGTATTTTAGTAATTTTGGTACGCTCAATGTAAGCGGCGGAAAGCGGTACAGAAGCGGCGCTACCATCACACAGTGACGCAGCCGTCGTCAAAATGTAAGTCTGGCAGTAGTACAGATGGCAAGCGCCAACATTACACGTACAACGACGATCATGACGGCGAGAGCAGCAGCGGCATACGCTGCCGTGGAAAGGGCCATTGTTGGCCAAGAAAGAGAGTACGCCGGCGCTCCGCGACCGCTGCGCCACCGTTGGCCGCTACCCAAATTAAAGCTGCCACACTTTTGCCGTCTTTGCCTGCTAGTTTTCCGCCGGCCTGACGTCCTCCGCTACCGCCGCCGCCCGCTACGGCTGCTACAGACGACGGCAACATCGACAGTAGCGCTAGCGCAGTCGTGAGCAGCAGGGTCCAATGTTGCTGCCGTGCGGGAGTCAGCCGCGGCAGTAGCGGCTGATGCAGCCGCAGCGATGGCGGCAGTGTGATGGTGCGGCAGTGATCTCTTCAATAATCGTCTCTCCCTTTCTCTCTCGCTCCCGTTTAGCGGCGTCAGAAACGGCCGTCGCTGCCTGACATTGTGCCTGTGTGCATGTGCGTGTGTGTGTGTGTAATAATGCTTGTCGCTAGGAGTACTGGAACAGCGCAGCCATAGAGGTCGAAAGAGAGAGGGGGTGGCGGGGGAGGGATGACAGGGTCGCGCACGGTCGCGGTCAGAGAGGGAGATACTCAAACGGATGAACGATAGACAGAAAGCGAGAGAACGAAGGAGGGACCAAAGGGCGAGAACAACGAACAGAGAGGACGAGGAAGAGAAAGCCAAAAGCTGGGAGATGGTACGCAGCAGGAAGAAGGTAAACAGGCAGCGAGCAAAGCGACTGTCTGCATCAAGGAAGAACAGCCCCAGCATACTATGCCACTGTTACAAACGTAGTCACGAACAAAGAACGAGGCAGAAACTATACGGAGACAGAGGGCGACTGAGTCCACTGGCAGCAGGACGTATTGCAAAGTCGTATAGCGAAGTCGACCAGGAAAATTTGCTTTTCTCTATCTTGACCTGCCCAAGGAACTGCAAAGACCTTAATACGGATTATATACTTAGATACACTGTTTGGAACTAGTCAGACAGAACAAGACATGTCTGAAAGGCAATGTAGGCGAGCTACTTTTTGCTAGTTGTAACGTTTCCTGTCAAGCGACGTTCATACTGAATGAATCTATCCACGCAGTCTGCTATCGTATATTGTACAGATTTATTCAGCAAAGTTTACGACACCGAAAGCACTCTTTGATGCTATCCTTTCTTAAGCATCATTGTCCCTGTATCAATTGGATTGCCGCACGTACTTAGAAGACAATATGCCAGATACGTTGTCCGTTAATAATCTCTGTTTAGATATCTCTTGGCTCTAGCCACCCTTTGGCCCAGTGACTTTTGACTGCGTCACGTGCTTATGACTTAACCCTATTTTCAATCGCTCTATAACCTGGCATATATGTATATAACTGAGCATAAATTAATTATTCAAGAAAATTCATCTTGCTGGCATTTGCTAATTATTAGCGGTGGTGAAATGCTCCACCGAAGTTGTCGAGCAGATGCAACTAAAGTATGCAGAGCGACAGTGGGACGTTTTAATACGTTAAATACACAGTTCTATTTACGCGCAGTGTTTTTTTTGTAGTCTTCGCTTTCTATGTAAAAACCCCCCAGTCTCCTATTGATATAATGAGATCCAACATTCGCTTGGTGAACTCCATGTGTAGCTTGCAGAACTTCAATAAAGAAGAAGTTCACCCGGAGCATCCTGTTACCACAAACGAGGCATGGTTCACTCCTTACCGCCAACCGGAGAGGAACAGAGCGGATAATAGGTATATGGCTGTCCAGAAGCTGGCAATATGCTGTAACAAGCGTATAAAAATGTAGAAGAGTACCTCTACCACGTATGAGAAATCCTAATTTTACTTTCAATCAATTTCAAAGTTCGTCGGATCCGTTCGTAACAACTTTATATATTTATATATACAGGATGACTCATAGAAACTGCGAAGTTTT